AATTAGCCGCAGGGTATGTATGTGGTATATGGTGCTAAAGCCTTGTCGGAAACCGGCTTGTTCGGGAGGCTGAAAGTCTGCGCGCGAGACGATTCGTCGAAGAGTAAGTATGTGGTACTAAAGCCTTGTAGGAAATCGGCTTGTTCGGGAGGCTGGAAGTCGTCAAGTCTGCGTGCGAGACGATTCCTAATGACTTTCGAAAACAGTACGTAGACGCGGTTCAGAAGGGAAATCGGTCTGCAGTTCTTCAAGAGAGCGTTGTCACCTTTCTTGAAGAACAAGACCACCGCACTTCTGCTCCTCGCCTCCGGTGTAATGCCACCATGGAGAACGGAATTAAAGAGCTTCTGAAGGACTTCAAGTACCGGTTTTCCACCCGCTTTCAGAAGCTCCGCTGTAATTCCATCCTCGCCTGGGGCCTTGCCGTTTTTAAGGTGTTGGAGAGCCATTCTAATCTCACTCAGACTGACGTCCGGGATATCTTCGGAATAGTGTCAGATAAGTCTCGCTCTTGTATCGTTACTCACACTTGCTTGTGGTAACGATGATGTATACAGCTGCCCATAGTACCTCTCAGTCTCACTCAAAATCTCAGATGTCCCGGAAACGACGCTGCCACACTCGGTCTTCAGCTTCGACAGTTGGCTCTTTCCGGCAGACAGATCTCTAGCAAAGACTTTGGAGCCCTGGTTCCGCTCGATCGCTTCTTCAATACGAGCAGTATTAAAGTTGCTTAAGTCCCGCCGCATGCATTTGGAGATCTGTCTGTTCAGTTGCCTGTATGCTGTCAAATCTACTGAAGACTGCAGCTTCATATCCCGTCTAACAGCCATGATATTAAGAGTGTGATCGGAGAATTTTTGTGTTCTTCTGCGGCGGGTCTTCCTAAACTTAGCTCTGACCACATGGACAGTTTCCACGAGATTGTCGTTCATATCGTCCACTGCATTGCAATCTTCTAGGCACTGAAAACGGTTTCGTAGCTCGAGCTGAAAGGTTTCGGGACTTTGGATTTGAGAACGAGGGGGACAGAGCGTTGACTTCATTAGACGTGACCTGTCCAACTTTACGTTTAGGTTCAGTATGCCTCTCACCATTCGGTGATCGCTGCCGGTTTTCACACTTTTGATCACTGAGACATCACTGAACAGTTGTCGTCTGGTCGTCATAATGAAGTCAATCTCATTTTGTGTCGAATCGTCGGGTCTCGACCAGATCCACTTTCTGTGGGGCTGCTTCTGGAAGAAAGAGTTCATCATAAAGAGTCCCTCTTTCTTCATGAAGTCGACCAGCTGCTGGCCCCTCGGGTTCCGTTGCCCTATTCTGAATTTCCCTACTTTCAGCTCACCGTTCTCTCTTGTGCCTAGTTTTGCGTTGAAGTCTCCAATTAACACCGTATATTGGGTTTTGGAGGAATGCATGGTTCTAGAGATATCCTCATACATTTCCTCCACCTCCTCATCAGGGTGTGCCGAGGTTGGTGCGTAAACCTGTATGACCTTCAGCGAATACCGTTTGGTTATTCTGAGTATAAGGTACGCAACCCTCGTCGACACACTCCCAATCTTTACAACGTTGTTAACGAGACTTGTGGACGATAAATCCGACACCACCTTGGGACAAATGGTCGCCCTGCCGGTGATAGAACAAGTTGCCGGATTCGAGGATTACCGTGTCCTCCCCCTCGCTTCGGACCTCGGATAGTCCTATAATATTCCAGCGCAACTTGTCTATCTCTCCTTCCAGCTCCAGGATCTTTTCGTCAGTCCTCAGGGTGCGTGCGTTATAAGTTGCCAGGTCGAGTCGTCTAAGGTGGCAACCGAACCTCCACCGGAGATGCTTAGTACCCCCTGTCCCGCCGTTACCATGGTCGCCACCGTAGCCAAGAATAGCGGAGCCGCCGGGGACTGGGGGCCGTCTCTCAATAACTTTATTTATTTGGGGGGTATATTGCCATAGTTGCCACGCTTGGCGAGCGGGTTGACAACCGCAGTTTTTTATTGTGATATTGCTGTTATCAGGAAGATGCTGCTGGGAAATATGGGGTAGTGGATATTCTTAACCACCACTACACACTGCCACTTACTTACAATTAATACTCCTAGGAACTAAGCTAGCCAAACAATTCAATACACTTTTCGTGCCTTTTGTTCGGCGAACATAGCTGAAGACGATTCGGCAGCATTCATAGCTGAAGACGATTTCAGCTTTACTAAATTCTTTGCTTCTATAGACAATAGTGATAACCTTTCCTGTCCCATAGAAGTCCTTGGAATTTTTGCTCACACACGTTCGGGGCCCCTGTAGCCCGGGGGCCCCGTATCATTGATACGGCTGATACGGCGGTAGCTACGCCCCTGTGGCCGGCCCATTGCCACTTCAGCTTGCTAATGCGTTGGGCTATGTCGGTCACTCTAGTTATACTGCGGATATCCTCATTTCATAGTTTATCATGAAAAGAAACCCCGAGCATAGCCCTCTCCATAGCTCACTGTGTGACCTTGAGCGTCTTAATACTGCCAGAAGTGAAGGGCCACAAATAAGATTTTTACATGGTAGAGCCATACTGCAGCTATATTACTGGTATAGTTGTAGCACGAATGGGTCGGCTCGACCGGGGAAAGATCACGTTCTCACAGAATACCAGCGTAAAATAGCAGCTTGAAGCTGCTATGTTTTATATGGTGGGTATAGAGAACCGGAGACCCTTTTTACTGAAAACGGGTCATTCCATCTTACTCCTCACGGGTGACAATGTTTTGCATTTTAATTCGTCATCCAGGATAGATGTAGACGTCTATGGGCCACATCAACCAGTTACCGTCAGGTGTACTATGTGCTCGTTTGTCACCCTTTGTCCCATAAAGTCATAACTGGAAACACGCACTGTCAAAATCCAATTAAATACCGCTTAAATAATAATTCCGATAAACGAATGTAGAACAAAAATTAAAAAAATTAAAAATTCAACATTTGAAAATTCTTTTTATTTTTCCAAGCGAAGTGATTAATAAAGACACAAGAAAAAATGGACAATGAAAAGTTTTATGAAGGGTAAATGCACATACGTACATATGCAAATACGGATTCTGAAAAAAGGACAAGAATAAAGAGTTTATGTTGTTATAATTAAGTGAATTTCTCTTTAGTTTGTAAAGCTACGGCAGAATTTCGAAAGATTTTCAAGAAAAATAGCAATTAAATTTAAAAAATGTAATGGATATAAAAATATTTTGGTTTAACAATTACAATTGTACTACTACAATGTAATAAATAATGGCCATTTATATTTTCTTGCAAAATGTATGCTTCCTGTATTTTTAATAAAATTATATCTCTCTCTCCTCTTAAAAATTCCAACTTTCCGCTGGTCATGATGTTTTTTTCAAATACATTATTTGCCTGCCATTTTTTACGAATTTGTTTGGGTAATGTGATACTTGAAATCTGTTTTTTTTTGAATACTGATATGGAAAACGAACTAAAAGTCCACTTGATTGTAAGTGTCTACTGCATCCATGGATACCTGCAAACTACTTAAAAAAAAAGAAGGCTACTGCACATCTGAACACTAAACCGGAATGCCTCAAAGCCTGTAAATATACTGGATTCTACATTCTTTAGGCAGGAAATTCATTGCAAGTTCTGCTATTTGGCGGCAAAAATTGGTATAATGGTGGTACCTACTTATACAGACGCACTTCTAGGCAGAAAAAGAGCCCTACCAATTAGAATTTGATAGATATACGAGCCAATACGTACCAAAAAATTAAGCAAAAGTAAAATTATGGCCCTTTCTACACGGGAACTGTAAATTTGCTTAAAGAAACAAATGCCGAAAATCAATACAACATTTTGTGACATACCAATTGTATCATTTGAAAATTATTAAACATATTTTGTTAAAGAAAACATCGTTAAGGCCGTTTTATTGACTCTTTACTTTGAAAGCCGTTATTAGAGTTAAATATAAATTAATGACTTTAGATTGACGTTGCAACGTCGTCAAAACATCGCTGTTAAGGAAAATTAGACTAAAAACATCTTTAGAGTAATTTTTGTAGCATTTTAATTATATGGTTTTAAAGGTCATAAATAAATATAATAAAGCGCAATATTCATTATATTTAATTTAATAATTTAAAACTATTTTCCTATCGGTGTTTTTATGACACATAGGTTATGTTTATAATTAATTGGCAATTTAATTATATTTGAATTAATTAAAATCAAAAAGAGATTGAAACTTTACATTTGAAAAAAAAACACAGAATACCGAGTAGTGGCGGTGTAAGAATATATTCTACCACATATCATTCCGTGGGTGTCGTAAGAGACGACAGAGGGAAACAAATTAGGATAAGATATTCAGATAAGAGCTAAAAATATTAAAAAAGCCGGCCAAGTGAGAATCGGATTTGCGCTGAAGGGTTCCGTATCATCGTTAAATACGTTTCTAGCAGGGGAGCTCCCTTTAATTTTAAATTAATTTATATTTTTATTATTTGTTATTATAACGGCAACGGAAATACACATTTTGTGAAAATATCAACTGTCTACCTATTACGGACCATGAGAAACAGCCCGCTGACAGACAGACGAACGAATAGAAGACGCTTAGTAATAAGGTAGTGTTGGTTACCCTTTGTGTACGGAACCCTAAAAAACTGCTATCACCAGCCCGTGGCAACTATGGCAAAATTCCCCCTTATGAGGAAATTTATGAGGGAGGCCTGCCTTCAGCAGTAGACTTTAATAGGCTGTAACGGTGAGGGTAACAATTAAAAAAAAAAAAGACTTCAGAAGAATTCGAACACAGTTTACTCCATATTCCATAGCCTCTGTGAAACGAAAATGACTAAGTAAAGGGAGGAGGGCGGGTAATGATTGATTACTCCGTATTTTGTTACCGCAAGCTTTTAGAGTTGCACCACTCGCTTATCTTTGACGTTACTAAAGACTGCGTCTTTAAAATTTTGCCTAATTAGATAAATCCAGTAATGAAGCGTGATAATAACGATTTTAGACTTTATAATCCGAACCAAAAAGATGAGATTTGGAAAAAAGAAATCAATAAAAAAAGAAATGGAAAGGATTTGCCAGGTAATGGTTTTCGTAACATAAAATATTTATAAGATTATTTCCTTTAAAGACTAAGTTAAGGAACGTTATCCGTCATTATAAGAGCGTTTTCAATTTAGAATATTATATTATTTAAATCATAATCTTTAAATATAAAAATTACGTGTGACATTGTTTGTCCGCGATGAACTGCTAAACTACTGAACTGATTCCAATGAAATTTGCAAACTGTGTGCAGTTTGGTCCAACTTGAGAGATAGGATAGTTTTTATCCTGAGAAGTGACACTCAATATTTTTTTATTACGAATTTAAGGATTTTTTATATGAAGGGTCGTCGAAAAGGGCAGAACAACGTCTGCCTGACCAGCTAGTATAGTATAAAACAAAGTCGCTTCCCACCGTTTGTACGCTTAGATCTTTTAAATTTCGAAACAAAACTTGATGATGATTGTTTTCATTAATAGACAGAATCGTTTAAGGAAAAGGTTTATATGTATAATAAATGAATATTGTGTATTATATAATCCTTCTGTTCGTATTTATGTGACTGAACTTCTCCTAAAAGGCTGGACCAATTGATTAGATTAATAATTGGATCCAGTAGGTGGCCTTGTTGTTGAGGTTCAGAAATCAACCGTGCGAAGCCGGGGCGGATCGGCTACACACCGGCGCGTTGCACCCGTGAAAGAAATAATTGCGTAAATATCGTTTTAAATTTGAAAGAGTTGTATTGTTTAATTGGGAATGAAAATACATTAATTGAAGTTGAATGATATATAACTTTCAAATAAATTTTTTCGTTCGATACGCGCGCTAGCTACTGCAAATTAATTGTACCTTCGAGTAAGTGCAAGCAATAAGTTAACGAAGTTTTACCGCAATCTGACGAACGATATTGCAGTGCATAAAATACGAACAAACAAAAATTTTGTGTTTCTATTTATTTGGAATAAAAATAAATTCATAAATATAAACATTTTTTTAAATTTATGTTAGAATAAATTTCCCACCAGCATCAATTAGATTGTTAATTGTAATTTTAAGTGCTGATTTACCACGTGCTCGGCGGTGAAGGAAAACATCTTGAGCAAACCTGCATGTCTGAGAAATAATAATAAAAAAATATATTTCGAAGACATGTGATGTTCGTCAACACGCATTGTGGCAGCGCGTCGGACATTTTCTTGCCCTAAAACCCCTCTCAATCGCAATGAAACGTATATAGACTGTAAATTTAACTTTATGTTCGAATGTAAGGTATAAAATAACAAAATCCTACTAAAACTTAACTTTAACCTGCTACGAGTAAGCATGTCAGTAACGAACCAGGGTTAGAGAGAAATTAATCAAAATACCAAATTCCAAACCAACCAAAACCAAATTCTATGGGCTGTAAATGGCAACCAGCCCTTGAAAAATGGATCTTGGGACCATGGGTAAATCTATTAAGAAACACGTTATTTACGGCGCTTTTTAAAAAAAAAAGATTCAAGATGTTTATAAGATATAGTAGATTATTATTAAATACACAGTAAAATAAATTTGTTTTGTTGTTTTGATTTTGAAGATTACGATGCCAAGGATGTGTATGGCCCTGAAATAACTAACGAGGATTCAGCCCTTTTAGATCAACATGACAGCTTTTACATGAATACAAAGAGTTTGTTAGTACTGTTCCAGATTATGGGAGTGATGCCTATTATGAGAGTGCCTAAAGGTATGGAACGTTATTCTTTTTAAATTAAAAATAAATATAAAGTACAGTTTAAAAATGCAAAAAAAAATATTATTACCAAATTTTTTTTATTCTATTATAATTTAAGGGACATTTACCGCTTAGGGTATGTCAGTCCCATCATACCCTAATATACACGACTTACTCATATAACGTTACTTAATAACTACATGGGCCATGGATTCGAACAGAACTTTCGCATCGTCGCCATTTGGTTGGGATAGAATATTATGGAATGTGCCTACGTCAGTTCTGTTCAAATAAGACCCTTATGAAATTACTTCTAATAGACTCAAATCGAACACATTCCATCAATATACGGTATAGGTCTTCTATAACTCCACAGTCTTCACAATTGGGCGAAGTTGTTTTTCTCATTAGAAATACAAATTTCTTACATGGAACGTGTCCAATTTTCAATAAAATAATTTGTATGCAATTGAAATAAAAAATAATTATAAGTAAACGTTTACACCGAAGCGAGTTCTTTCAATAATTCTATGTTGTATTTTTGTAGGAGAACCATCTACCTTCCTTCTTCTGCATGTACTTATCCCAAGTTATTTAGACCGAGCCGAAAAGGAAGACTTAGCATATATTCTTCTTCCACTCTCCACTATTAGTCGCCATCCCTGAACTTACCCCTTTGATACGCATATTATTTCTGACGTAGTCCATCCATCTTTTCTTAAGCCTCCCTCTACTCTTATAGGTGTTTACTTTCAAAACCAACATACTTCTTTTTGTATGGTTTACTTCTTTATACCACGCTAACCTAACTAGACTCATTAATAGGTAAGGTTTGCTATGAGGCGACTCCCTAAATTTGTTGTCGATTGATGGATTATTATTAAATTTCCCTGTGAATGACGTAAATAGGTGAACAAGGGAAATTATTGAAAGAACTTATGTTTTCCGTTGAGGCAAATATCCATCTCGTATACGTCACTTATAAAATACTCAGATCGGCAACGATTATCAGTGTCAAAGGTGAAAAACATCAAGTACTACAATCGTAAATCCTAATGCTAAACGTGACGATTGAGATAAAAAAAATACAGGAGAGGGGGCAAACTAGCATGCGGCTCACCTGATATTAAGTGACTACCGCCGCCCATGAACAACTGCAACACCAGGGGAATTGCAGATGCGTTGCCGGCCTATTAAAAAGGAATAGGCTCTTTTCTTGAAAGTTCCTAAGTCGTATCGGTCCGGAAAAATCCATTCCACAAGAAAGTTGTGCGAGTAAGAAAACTTCTTCTAAATCGCACAGTATGGATGGTATCGCAAGTTTTGTCGCGATGTGTAATGGTGAAACTGAGTGGCTGGATGTAGTTCGAACTATTCCTCAGAGCACTCCCCGTGGTAAATGCGATAAAATACGCAAAGAGATGCAACATCTCTACGAAATGCCAGTGAGTCAAGCCGATCGGAAAGAACTCGGTTCGCTCTGCGCTGGATGCGGTCAAGTGGAAGGAGCTGGCACTGGACGGCCCCTGCCCAGAAATGGGAACAGTATTCCATGTGAGGCCGAACCTGTGCCTTGTAAAGTTGCAAGTGGTGTGCCGCCATTAAATACTGTCCCGCTTAGCTGAGCACGCCAAGCTTTTTAGAGAACAATTTGGCCTTCCCTTCCAAGTGACCACGAAACTGCACACTATTCGATATGTCGACGCCATAATTATTATATTATTTATATATAATTATTTATTGTCGTAAATCACTTCTGTATTTTGAAGCAGAGTTTTTCCCATAATAATAATGATTTATTACCAGTGAGGTGGTATCGGTTCTGCGTCCATCTATTAACCTGCACAAGTAATGAGTTTGGGCAAATCTTCTATTAAATGCACGCTATCTGACGCATTCATAGCCTATGTTCAGCTTTAGCTTTAAACGTTTGGTGATAAACACGAACATTGGTTCGTCATTGTAAGTACCTTTCATCTAGGTCTATTGCCATGTTACTTAAACCATAGTAAGTGATTGTAGTTTTCTGAAAAATAAGTCAAACGAATTATTCTTTTAAAGTTGTTTATCAACTTGTATCTTATTACTACCTCATTTATAGCAAAACAATAGACAAATAAAGTTTCAAAAATATAACACGTTTACAAATAATACTTTGGTTGCATCTGTATTTTACACACACTGACACAATTAATATGGGGTATTTCAATCGTGTTCTCATCAGGTAATAAATAAATATATAACCATATACTATAAACATAAAATGTATAGAATAAAATATATGTTTAATAGAATACAGTAGAATATAACAAAATTAATATTTTTGGTATTATTCAAAATTTTAGCAAATTTATGATGAAATTTGTTTACAGACGCTAAAACAACGAAACGTACTACATACAACTGGATATCGAAGGCAACTTTATGGGCGTATTTAGTGTGGAGTCTAGAATGTATTATAGTTGTTAAAGGCAAGTTGAGCTATATTAATCTGCCGCTGGCAATTCATGTTGATTTTAAAACACAGAGTAACGTTGTAAATTATAATTTATACATACAAGGCAATAAAAAAGACGTTTTTTATTATATAATATAATATGGTGGCAATTGAGCTAATAGTCCACCAGATGGGAAGTGGCTACATCCACCCATAGATGATTATGACTACTCGCATATTCAAACAAAGAAGTACCACTTCCATTGTTACCATCAAAAGTTAAGGTGAAAACCTTCAAAATCTTTTATTTGTTCCATTATCCTTCAAACCTAAACACAGGAGTGGTCAGCGGCAAAATGGACAAAAGGTTAGAACCTATTACATGGTACAGCCAAGACCTCACAAAATAAAATAGCCCTAATAGCTGCGTACTTATCCTCTTGTACTTGCAGTAAGTGAAGAGCGTTTTTTTTTACTAATATTGATGCATTCGTTATTAGCCATCAGGAGTGAATGCATCAACATTTCGGTTCTTAATCGAAAATAAATGTACGAGTGTATGGGTACATCCACCGTTACTTAAATTTTTTTAAACGTACCTATACACTATGTGCCTCTATGTCATCATCATCTTAACCATGATATTACAACATATCAATATTCCACTGCTAAGTATAGCGTCTATAGATTTCCTTATAGCTGCCATGGATTGGCAACTGCAGTACTGTATTATTTCGCGAATTTTTTCTAAGTAGATAATTTAAGTATAAGTGCTCCAACTAAGCTTTGAATACTTATGCTAGGTTTGGTTTACGCTAGTAGAATCTGCCATTTCAATTCGAACCCACAAATTTTTAGTATCGCAATTCGTACTCTTTACAGTTATGTTACTTTCACTTTTTTAACATTTTGTTTAATTGTTTTAGTTGGCAAAGAGAGACTAACTAACTTTCAAGAAAATTCAAATAAACGCTTCGACGAAGTTATCTATAACATAATATTTCTTAGTATTCTCATTCCGCACTTTCTTTTACCGATTGCATCATGGCGTCACGGGCCCCAAGTAGCTATTTTCAAAAACATGTGGACGCATTATCAGGTAAAATAAAAAAATTAACTAATGGTTTCAATAAATATAGCAGTGATTTCGTTTCATATCACAAACTTAAAAAGTCCATTTCAAATATTACTCGACATTTCATTCATTTCATTCATTTCGTATACTTAGTAATAAACACATGAAAATAACATGTGAACGACGTGTAATATTTGAATTGGATTTTTAAATGTCTATGTTACTTAACGAATTTACTGCAATATTCATTCAAAATTTCTCTTTTCTGAGAGAGTGATAAAGCCATTAGTCCAAAAAAATAAAAATAAAATACTCAAACATTTATGACAGATGTTTGTGTGTAAATTAATCAAATAAATAATAATTATGTGAAACAGTAGCGAAGATCATTAAAAATGACGATCGGGTGTCGGCTTCTCCGATAAAAGAGTTGAGATTTAAACGAGTAACAACTGTTATAGCAGCTCCTTAAATACAATAGAACATTGTACATTGTTTTTCAATCGTTTCAAAATCAAAATTGTTATGTTCTTTGATATTCATTTCGGACCCTAAGATATAGGATTATCCTAGATTGGGGTCCAAAGTTTGTATATCTTTTCTTGGACATTGTTTGGCTCACTGTTTCTGCATACTTTTGTTAAATCTATATGTCCAAATTTATTTCTCTACTAGATGTTCCCCGCGACTTCACCCGCGTGGAATTATTTTGCATTATTTAAAATAAAAGTAGCCTTAGTTACTTCTTATAACATCTGCTATCTGCCAGTGAAAGTCCCATCCAAACCGGTTCACAGGTTTTTGCGTGATGCGTTTTTAGACAGACCTCGTGTTAGAGTTTTATTATAGTATAGATAGATAATCTAGGCTGACGCGTGTGCCATGCGTAAGCATCATATCATATTTAGCGATGAGCAATGTTTTCTCTCCCCACCTCGCCCGCAGCGCGCCCGACCGCCCTGCGCCCGCCGGACCGCACAATTTTATATCGTCGTAACTTTTAAAATATTTGACCTAATTACGTAGTGATTTCTTATATTTACGCGAACACTACACATTGAATAAAACTATTTTTTTTTTACGGACGCGATAAAATCCGTAACAATAGTTTTACTAATTACGTAGTTTAAAAGACAAAGTTTGTCTACTTTGAATATCAGAAGCGATAAAAGTATTTATGTATTATGATAAAAATCAATTTGTTATTGCAAAATGTACATTGGAAATAAAGTATCACACTTTATTGTATTTATGGTTTAGTCTTTTGGTAATGATGGCTTACACATAAAATATAGTTATATAATGCCGTGGATTTTTCTGTAGTACTATTTTGGTTAAACAATTACAATTACATTATATTTGTGTAACTCTTAAAGATTTTGCACCGCACGCCAAAATAGGTCGCAGATGGTAGATTTTTTTCCGACTTAACTAACATTTATCTTTATATTTTGGCCAATTTACACAGTATCTTTATGAATTATAGTCTATGTGTTATTCTAATGTATGAGCTATATAATTGTAAAGTTTCATTAAAATCCATTGCGTAGTTTTTGCGTTAAAAAGTAACAAACACTACACATCCTCACAAACTTTCAGTTTATAATGTGGCGGCGCTGTCGTCGCGCCACAAACGAAAAACACATCGAAGCCTAAATCGCGCTTACAAAGTTCCGAAGTTCAAGCGGTATATATATATATAAAAGCTCCGAACTACCACCCGCCACATTGGTAATCCCGACGTGATATGAACACGCAACCAACAACCTTCGGAAACTGCAACTTTCAAATCTTCGTCATCCTCCTCAAGTACCCGAGAAGATATTGTCTGCGGTCTTCCCATTCTGCAAGCCATTTAGCTTTACAAAGGTTCATCGCAGCACCGGAATAATAATGTTTCCTGTTCCTTCAAGTTACTCTCTGCGCTACAGTGTTCGGCACGGCTTTGAGCCTAACTGCTCGCCTCTGCTTCGCGGCACTTTCGCAGATTACTTGCCTTCTTCTCGACTCACCGCAGACTTACAAGGCAATTCCCTGGCACTTTTAAATTCGTCGATATCTAGACTGCACTATCGACCTCTGGTCTATGCAGGGGGGTGATGTGGCGGTGCTGTCGTCCCGCCACAAGCGAAAAACACATTGAAACCTAAATCGCGCCTACAAAGTTCCGAATTTAAAGCAGTATATATAGAATAGCTCCGAACTGCCACTCGGAGCATGGGCCGCTCCCCGGGCAGAACATCTTGCCCGGCGGGAGATCTCCCCTTTCCTTCATACGGCCACAATAATATTAGTAGTAAGTAGTATTTCTCTATTACTGAGAAGTGTTTCTAGCCGGAATATTTTAATCCCTTGCGTTTGCGTGTTTTTGTTTTGAATGTGTGTATTAAATAAACTATTATTTCTTTATATTACATCTTATTATTGAATTAACAATTTGGCAAATTTTACACATTTATGGACAAACTCTCACGTCTGTCACCCAGAAAGGAAGCCAAGCCCACGGACTTCAATTTAGTACTATCCTTACACACCACCTCTCTTCATTTACATCCATATACCTACGCATACATGCTCATCGGTTAAGGGTACTCTTAGTTTGGCCCATTTTTAACAATACGCGTTTGACGTGATGGTATTGAATAAAATCTATATAATCTATCTATATATCTATAATAAAATAAAAATTTTGTGGCTATAACTCTTTTATCGGTGAACCTGACAATACTGATCGTTGTTTGTACTGAACTTGGCTCCTTTTTGACATTTATGTTTTTGGGTTATACCTAATTAAATAAATAACTTTCAACTTTCAATAAAATTTTCACTGTTTTTTTAAAATTATTAATATAAAAATTGTATGAAAACTAGTTTATTCTCTTGTTACTTCCTGTGCGCATAATAGCTTACATTTCTAAAATTACCAAGAATTGCAGGTTAATTGGCGAATGCAGTACCAATATTTTGCTTTTCGTTGCTGGTCTGGTAATTTTGCTTATTAAATAGTCATACTCTGGAGACACCGAAATATTAGTGACAGCACTCTTAGTCGATTTAAGTTTTGATAGGCTGATTTTCTCATTATTAGATAGAAGTGATTCACAGAATAAAGTACATCATAAATAAAGTAACAACATAAATAACAACATAAAAAAATTACAGTTTTATTAAAAATAGTTCAATTGTTTCTTAATACTTAAAAAAAACGGTATAATTTATTTGATGGAAAGCTTTTATCTCTTGATTGAAAAAACAGCCCTTAGTTGTTTTGTTTTAAAAAGAAAGCAAAAAAAAAACTTAATATTTTTATTCAACAGAAAACTCGAATACACATAAAATAAAACTTGAAAATGTTTCTTTTCAGCTTAAGTACTTGAAAATCACCGGCACTCCGATAGTTTTTCCAAACCTTTATTCATTAACTTGGGGCCTATGTGTATTTTCGTGGGCTCTAAGTGTTGCTGTTATTCTTTCGCAACATTACCTACAAGATGACTTCGAATTGTGGCACTCGTTTGCTTACTATCATATAATTGCTATGCTTGACGGATTCTGTTCACTATGGTACAAAATATTTTGTAGTTACTTTTTTTAGCAGTTCATAATATTCCACTACTGTACATAAGTATTTTATGTTTTGAACTTTAGACACTATTTCCCGTCGCCGGTCTAGGTTTTTTTATGCCTGAAGTAATCGAAATGCTTAAACTGTCATCTATCGGAATTAATTATGTCTTTGTGGCTGACACTTTATCAACCACTTATCTTTTACGACACCACGGGATGAAATAAGTGCGAAGGATTCTTGTACTCCGCACCGCCATCACACGAAATTTTTTAGTTTATTTTTCGTTTGTATTTTGTTTTTAGAATATTTTTTTTGTAGATATGCCAAACTTTTGGTAATGAAATCATGTGATTGTAAAGAGGTATCAAAAAAAAGAGACGTCTTATATTTCCTGGAAATCTCAATTATCAATAAACTTGAATCCCTTGTAATCCTAGATAACAAAAAATAGTGTTATGATTACGAGTATTTTAAGGATGCCAGTAACTTCTTTAAATATTATGAAATTAACAACTAATTACAGCATATAATGGTGTCGATGTGTTGTGATGTGCACAGGTTTAATTTTTTGTTGGGAAATCTATTCTAACTAGTGTTCCTACTAGTTAAAAACTCACGGTATCCTTTGCACTTTGTTGAGGGGAACACTTTTGCACACTATCACATCTCTAACGACAGTGTCCTTTATGAGCTTCTTTTCAATTTTAATGTGTATATACATATAGAAGAACGAAGGATCTAGACCTATTATATGGAAGAACGTAGGATATAATGGGTCTAGATCCTTCGTCCTTATTTTAAATGTCTACACTTTAGTTAAAGAGAATGGTGTAGGGTTTGATAGGCTTCATCTAGTGGACAACCTTTCTATCTGCAAATAGAGAGAATTTATGTAATTTTTCACTACGTGTCTGGCGATACGAAATTATTATCCAAACATTTCGAAAATAGAACATCTACGTGATATAAGCACGTTGTAGCTGTATTATTTACTGCAGTGCGAATGAGTTGGTTCGATTAGAGAAAGACCATCATCATCATCAATACATCCCTTCACAAGTCCACTGCTGAACATAGGCCTCACCCAATGAATGCCACAAAGCGCGGTTCCGAGCTACCTGCATCCATTGACTTCCTGCATTTCTTACCAGGTCGTCACTCCATCTAGTGGGGGGACACCCTACAATTCGTCTGCCGGTACGAGGCTGCTACTCAAGAACCTTTTTTCTGCACTGATTGTCGGTTCTTCGAGCTATTAAGGCCGTCTTTTTACCACTTCAGATAACCAATATTTTGGGCTATGTCAGTTACTCTAGTTTTACTGCGGATATCCTTATTTTTAAGTCTATCACGCAGAGAAACGCCGAACATAGCCCTCTCTACAGCTCACTGAGCGACTTTGAGCTTCCTCACACAGTCAACAGTGAAGAACCACGTCTCAGATCCATTGGTCATCACTGGCAATACGCACTGATTGTATAATCGAGTTTTGAGGTTTTGAGGTACGCCTGACGAGAAGATGTGTCGTAATTTCCCGAACGCTGCCCAGCTGAGTTGAATCCGTCGATTGAACTCACGGTCTATGTTGGACTTACCTAGTCAGACTATTTGTCATACTACTAAAGAGTACATGAATCACAATAACACTAACAATTGTATAAAATATTATATTGTTATTGTGTTTTAAAAAGTACCGCTGAGTTTCCCGCTGGTTCTTCCCAGGACAGAAGTTTTATGCGAACCAGTGGCAAAAGTAAAAATTACTTTCAATAAGTATTATGTAGTGTAGTCTACGTTGAATAAATATGATTTTATTCTATTCTTTGGTAGAATAGAATTCTATTCACTTTAGGTAAGATAAAAATATCCATGGGCCATGGGATGGCATACACCTACAATTAGTGGAATATAAATATGTGAAATATAATAATGTGTACTTGTTGCTCATTTCGGTATAAAATTTTGAAAGGGATACTTTTCAGAAGTTTCTAATTTTTGGAATATAAAAGTTACGATTTTAATTCGAGTGATAGATACTATTCGATGAACGGTTTTATTTTACCCCAATAATATTTAATATTCCGAATGAATAGTTTTGACTGTTGCTTACTTTGAATAAGTTACAAATAACTTCTCAAAGGGCTTCAGATATTAAATCGTCAAACGATTCCGATGCTCAATAATTCGAAACTTATTGATGATACTTACAGCTATTTTGTTTGTAACTATTCATATCTCCAGATCACAATTTCTCTTCGAGATATTTAACTTTAGAATATTAGTATCAGAAATAGATGCTTATGTAACATGTACCATGCAACTTTACAAGGCGCAGGTTCAGCCGCACTTGGAATACTGTTCCCATCTCTAGGCCGGGCCTCTCCAGTGCCAGTTTTTCCATTTGATCGCATCCAGCGCAGATCGGGGTGAATAGTCGGCGACCGAGCTCTTTCTGAACGGCTTGACTCACCGGCGCTGCAGAGAGATGTTGCATCTCTTTGCGTATTCTATCGTATCAGAGGTATTGTTCGAACTAATGCTAGCTGCTTAATTTCACCATCGCACATCGTGACGGAACTCGAGAAGGATTATGGATGGCCATATACTCTGAATTTGAAGTGATTGGCGGTCCACTACTGTGTGATTCACAAGAGGTTTTCTTGTTCGCACAACTTCTTTGTGGAATCGAATACTATAAGAAATTTCTCCGGACCAATACAAATAAATATATTCAAGAAAAGAGACTACTCTTTTTTAAAAGGCCGGCAACGCATCTTCAATTCCCCTGGTGTTGAAGTTGTTCTTGGGTGGCGGTTGTCACTTAACATCAGGTGTGCGGTTTGCTCGATTGCGCCTCTCATATAAATAAACTATATATATTATTCTGGCTAGAAGTGACCAAGGCAACAACTTCTGTTACTGACCAAAACTATCAATTCTGCATTTGATATTACGCTTTTGCGATTAGTTCTGAGGTAGACTAGATCACATAAATCACAATACTAAAAGTCTAGAAATCAAATTATTTTTAATTTTCTGTAATATAGGATGAAATTCTGTTCCAAGACCTGCGATCCTAGCTCAGGTAATCGTTAATTAATAACATATTCATATTATAAAATAAATTTCAATGGATTATAGGTACATCAACTGCAATGCTTTTGGAACCGCCTCAAAGGGCTTGGCATCAAATTTACATAAAGCCCTTCAAGCAGAAAATCCAGCTTTGAGGTTAGCTCAGTATCGACATTTATGGGTTGATCTATCTCATATGATGCAACAACTAGGTAATGTATTGGCAAGTGATTAAAATAAATCATAAAATATTAATGGATTTTAATAACCATTAATTATATAAGAAATATTACAATAAGGAAAAATGATATAACCTTTCTCATTTGCAGGTAGGGCCTATTCGAATATGTACGGTATTTACTGCATGGTTATTTTCTTCACAACGATTGTTTCCCTCTACGGCTCTCTTTCCGAAATCTTAGAGCACGGACTTAGTTATAAGGAAATGGGATTATTTGTTATAGTTGGGTATTGCATGACCCTTCTTTTCATCATATGTAATGAAGCGTACCACGCTTCAAGAAAGGTCTTTAATGCAGTGATATTTCACTACATTTATATTTATATTGACGACCTAACTGTATTAACTTTAACGGATTTTTATTTTAACAGGTTGGATTTGAATTTCAAGTTCGTTTATTGAACGTTAATTTGGGTGCGATCGATCGAAGTACACAACGCGAAGTGGAAATGTTTTTGGTAGCTATAGCTAAAAACCCGCCCATAATGAATCTAGATGGTTTTACGAACATTAATCGCGAACTCTTCGCAGCTGTGAGTTTAATCTTTTAGACTTAGGACACTTCACACTAGGACCTTCCAACTAAATTATAATCGGATAAAAAGGCATTTTTAACGTTTAGTTACAAATATAAAATTAATACAATAGGCAAAACTAAACTGCCCCCTTGGAACAGGAGAAAATCCTAGTTTGGACGTTACGTTTTTAAGAACCAAAGAATAACAAAAGAACAAAAAGGTGATAGAGCTAAGTTGCAATTATATTATGACTGCAGCAGGAATTAGTCAGTTCGACCGGAGTAGGTCCACGCGCTCACAAAATACCAGCGTGAAAGAGCAGAAAAATGGACTGTTTCTTATGCTTATGAGAACTGCGACGTTCTTAGTCCTCAGGGGTGACAATGCAACTGTTGCAATAAAAATGCAGGCTTGGTTTGAGACGGTGTGAGGGTTTATGCAAGTTACTAGTAGAATACAAATAAGTACTGTACACAATGAATAAATTAACAGCTCTAAAAGAGAACAAATTTAAATCTCTATTAAAAACAAGCGATCCGATGATTTCTGGACTCGACAACAGCGCCACCTACCGGGTCCAATTGTGAATCTTTTAGATCATCCAGGAACCCACTCAAACAATCACAAAAAAATTATCAAAATCGGACTAGCCATTTTCGTGTTTTTGCGAGACTAACGGACAGCAATTGATTTTTATATATACAGATTACAAGCCGATTTCTAAGAATTAATAATTTAAAATTTAAAATTTTGTACAACCTACTTCAATATAAATTATTAAGAATAACTCAAAAAATATGGGTCAGACCATGATCAAATTTATATGGGACCACATGTGAAGCACCAGCTTTCAAATAAAAATAGAATCATTGAAATCGGTTTACGCAGAAAGAAGTTATGAAGTAACACACATAAAGAAAAGGAAACCATACAGTCGAATTGAGTACATCCTCCTGTTTGAAGTCGGTAGAAAAAGGATAAAACAATTTTTTTTATATTAACAGTTTATCAAATCAATGCTGAGAGACATAGTGCGTAGAAGAATTAAAATCCCGATTATTTTATTCTTCTTAATTAAAGCTAAAAAAATATAATTTTCAAATCTGTCATAAACAAATCCATGTAAAATGAGATATAGATACATGATATCATCGCGTACAGTAAATAAACATAGGTAAGGTTTAAATTTCTTTATACAATGTGACCTTTTTTCTTCTTTATCAGCCACTGCTGGCAATGGACCCATCTCATAGGAGGAAGGATGTGCCATTATCGCCTCGCGTGGCAGTCGGATTATAGAACCGAACGTCTCGCACCTTAGACATTGTTCCCTGTCGTCAGTCTACGTATTTCACATCTGACAAATACGGAATGGTGACACCTCTACCTATCAGAAATCATATGATTTTCCTGGTTTTCTTTATTGGTGCAAATTATGAGATAATAAGTAAAATGGAAAAATATGCAGTTAAAATTTTGTATAGTTTTGTATAGTATATGTTTTGTTTCGTATGGTGAGTGAACAGAACTGGAGACCCTTTCTATTGGAAACAAGGTATTGTATGTTAGTCCTCAGGGATGATGACTATTCATCACATTCACACATCTGAATTTTCATTTTTAATTGGGGATACTCGTAGATGTAGATGTCTATGGGCACGTTTTTTACGTGGTAGAGCCATGCTGTAGCTATATTACTGGTATAGTTGTAGCACGAATGGGTCGGCTCGACCGGGGAAGGACCACGCTCTCACAGAATACCAGCGTAATATAGCAGCTTAACACTGCTGTGTTTCGTATGGTGAGTGTAGAGAACCGGAGACCCTATTTACTGGAAAAGAGGCATTCCATCTTAGTCCTCACGAGTGACAACACATCTGCATTTTGATTCACAAACAAGGATAAATCTAGATGTCTATGGGCCACAGCCACCACTTACCATCAGGTGGACTGTGTGCTCGTTTGTCACCCTGTGCTATAAAAAAAAACAGAATCCACTTACTATCAGATGGACTATGTGACGGCTTGTCACCTCTAAACATTGTGGAAGAATGAGCAATTGAGTAATGAATTTTAACCAAAAGCTTCTTTTCAGAACATATCCTATATGTCAACATACTTGATAGTATTGATGCAGTTCAAGTTAACGTTACTAAGACAAGGTACGAGGAAGGTAATAAAGAAAATCGTCGGAACTATTCTCAACGCAACGACTACCTTAGCTGACGAGACTGAAAGTGACTAAGTGATTATGATTCTAACATAAATATTTAGCACAAGCTTTACATTTTTGTCTAACATAGCGTGTCTGATTTTAGCAAAGAAATAAATTTAAAAAAAAACTAATAGTGTTTTCTAATAATGATAATAATATTTTTATGTTAAAGAGTATGTAAAAACATAGTCTAAAATTTTAAACAACAAAATTAAAACTGCATCCGATAAAATTAAAATGACGTGACGTAGAGTATAATTGATGGTGAAACGAGCAGGGTCAAACTACGCAAGTCGGATTTTCAATTGAATATTAACAATAATTTATCTCAATCTGATCAAGAAGTTATCTGTGCCTGTTGTGGTGCCTATGGCTTTTGAGAAACATTTTACTGATATTCCTTTTTATTATATTCATAGAGAAACGTGCGTTGAATGAACAGCACAATATTACAACAAAAAGTTGTAATATTATATTGATAAGGCATAATGTTTAGTAGACCTGTGGTAGCACAAAGGCTAAGCGCTCCCTGTAAGTGCTTGATCCCCACGGGCAACAACGAAACGAAATAGTAAAATGCTGATTTACCATGTACCCGCCGATGAAGGAAAACATCGTAAGGAATCCTGCATGTCTTAGGAATTAAATATTTCAAGAATATAATGTGAAGTCCGCTAGTATTCTAGCTAAAATTCACTGGAGTAGCGCGACGGATAAATTGCCCAATAAATCTTTCAAAAATGACACAAATCCTATTCCCAGCAATGGAACGTATAAATGTTGTTTTTTAATAGAAGAGGGGGCAAATGAGCGTGCAGCTCATGGTAAGTACCACTACCACCCATCAAAAACTGCAACACCAGGGTAATAGCAGGTACATTGCCCGCGTTTATAAGGCTGGCATGAAAGAGCCCCGTTACAGCTATATATTATTACTGCGTAACGTTTACTTCGGCTTAAACGGAAAAATGACCACGCATTGACATATTTCTACCGTCAAACAGAAGTATAACGCTGTTACGTTTCATATGGTGCTTGTATAAACCTTTAAAAACGATTTCATAAAATGGAGGAGGACTTATAATTTGGCTGTATGTATTTTGTATGTATGTTACGTGTGATCTCCGTCAAATGTAAACCGATTTTTCATTAAGTAGATTATACTTCAGAGTCATCCCATATAAATTTTGAAAAAAATAAATTCCCTAAGTGTAGCGAAAAAGAGATTGAAGTTTTACATGTAACTATTAAGAATCTCAATCTCAATGTCGTCTAAATTATAGAGGACATTGAGATTGTGATATTCCCTAGTCCTCTCATAAGTCATAACAGTAAAACATAATTTTTCTTTTCAAAGACATACTATAAAAACAAATAAGACCTATTATTTAATTTTCAGAATTTTCATTGATTGCTCAATTTTAGAAAGTGAAATTATTTCATTTGTTTACTCTGTGATTTCAGCTTTTATTATTTATTATAATTTTTTTTCTTTTTATTCATAATGTGGCGTTCTACTTTATTTATCAGAGAGCAACACATCTGTCTGCAATTTGAATTTTATTATGGATAGACGCAAGTCTCTACGTGCTACATCATCCTGTCATAATCAGGTGGACTTTGTGTTCCTTGTTTGTTTTATAAAACGAGAATTAAGAAACATTTTTTCAATAATTTATACCTTTATGGCTTACTAACTGCGCTCGTGACTGCATTTACATGGAATCATTTACTTTTATTATTGTCATAAAACAGATTATGATGATTTGAAGCTTTATTACTTTGGGCTAAATATTAATAGTTATATAAACTAGCCTACTGTTCCAACTAATAGAGTAATAATAAACATATTATGTTAAAGCTTATCTTATATAGACAAGCTGTAACACCCTATTTCACCTCCACTGGGTTTGAATTTTCCAAAATCATTCTTAGCGGGTGGAGACGTGGAGTAGGGAGTATATATGCCAAATTTCAAATCAATCGGGCGTATAGTTAAAGTTCCCGTTATGAGTAAAGGAGTCAGTGTTATTTCGCTTATACCATATGTAAATGTATAGATATAATTTTTATCACAAATAGCGATCAAGTGTACGTGACTCAATTGCCGGGGGTTTCCTATTATAAAATATTTAAAAAAACATAGTAACGTAAATGCACTACTATGCACTAAGAAAATACAAAAAAGAAACTAGGATAGGAGTTCAGATTTTAATTTATAAAATATAGAGTTTATTGGTTTGTAAATTTCACTTATTGGTAGGGAACGATAATTCTTATATATATATATTTTAATCTTTAAAGGTAGAGCAATTCTCAATGATGACCATATTAAATTAAAATAAAAAATAGGGAATTCTCGTGGCAAGCTCTGCGCCATTGACATACCTTTTTTCTTTTTAATTAAATTGTTAATGACATTTTTTGTCGTTCGCAATTTTCTGCACGCAGTTCCATCTCAAAGCGTTTGCCGATATGTGAGCAGTTTGACCTACTTGGGTTCTATATCTTAAAATATAGCTAATACCTCTTCGACAGAGCGATGTTTACGTGGTGTTCAAAACAAGCAACTCTCCTTGGAATATCTGTAATAATAGATGTAATAAAAGAAGATAAGTTGGATATTCGTCAAATGTGGGGTGTTTACAAAGTTGTTTGTGATGAAGGCAATGCCGTTCACGTGGGTCAGAGAGGTCGCAACTTCGATACACGTTGTTGCATTTAGCCGCATATAGGAATTATAATCCCGAGAGATCCCATTTTGCTTAACATCTCTTGGATACTGGACACAATATGGCCAATGAACACTTCTTTAAAGTTTTGCATAATTTTAATAAAAGGCCGCGACTAGATGTGTTTAAAAGAAACAGTTACACTTTTGAACGAACAATATATAGATAATATATTTCTACCTCACTTTTCTAATACTTTAAGAACTTCACACAAATTCAACACACAAATTCGGCTTTCGATAATTTTGGCAGAGTTAAGAACAGGGGAGATCTCGCGCCGGCAAGGTGATTAGCCTGGGGAGCGGCCATCGCTTCGTGTGGGAATTCAGAGCTATTCTATTTACATATACTGCAGTAGCCTTGAAATGTGGCCGTTTGCCACCCTCTCTGTAGCAAACGATTGATTACGTGGTTGGGGGGTAGGTTGGAGTGTAGGTTGGCGTTCTGCAGCGGTTTGTTGATAAGTTTAAGGCAAATGGCTGCGTACTTGAGGTATGTGGTAGATCCCATTTTTCATAGCATAACGTCGCTCGCTCGCTACTTAATTTTTTTTACTGGGCAGCAGTTTTCGTTCACCGCTCACTAGGTAGGCATACAGCCATCAGATCTATTTGAGAGCCCCATGAAGGAATTATTGTCTCTTTGGAGTGGAGTAACTACTATAATTATGCTTGTTCCTAGTATTTATAGAATTTACATCACTAATTTTAATTAAAGTATTTTTGTGTACATACATACATTAAATAATAAATTATTCGACAGAATAGTATGTCCAGTTTCTGGTCCCAGAAAATATACAAGGTATCATCGCTACTACATAATTTTAGCATTTTAATAAAAATGACTTCATGAAAAGTATTATTAAATATATGGTTAACAATAACCCCAGAAAATAAGGTCGCTTTGAAACTATTTCTTAAATAAGTTGAAAATAATTGTAATAATGTTACTATGAAAAAAGTCCCACTAGATTCTTTCTGTTTTGTCCAAAACAAAGATTTTTTTCCGAACCTATTTATTCTATATAAAAAGGACACCTTACATGCAATTTTTAATGTTATTATTTTTATTCTACGACAAAATATATGACTACGAAGGTTTAACGTAATATATCAAACCAATAATAGAGATTATAGCTCAAAGGCACATACTAGGGCACTAATTTAACTAATATTGAGATTAATTACTTCAATTATTTGCACTCTTGGTCATGACTTATTTTAAGGAATTTTAATCCCACCATCTGTTAACCGTTAACGAGGAGCTTAAGTAATATGCTAGGAGATTTTCATGCATTTATACATTCGTAAGAATCTTACATTCGTAAAAAGCTCGGTTCTCTAATCTACCGCTACTTTAAGATGTGGAAAAGTACAGAATATTGTATTTTTTTAATTTAGGAGATAGTACAAATTTCCAAGTCTTATTCTATGATAGAATATAGAAAATTAATGGGTAATAATAACTCAGCATTTTCAAGTTCACTTCTGGATATTATCCTTTATGAATATGTAATAACTTTTCTCTAAATCGGCCTGTAAAAATTACAGTACCCTCGAAACTCACAAGGTAATAAAAAAAAATGTTGAAATATGGCTTTAGACAAGGCCTATATTTAGCGAATAAATATAAGGAAATAGGACACCACAAATTATTAGGAATGTCTAACAATATCATAAAATATTTACACATTTTATTAGACCATAAATTGCTAGTTAAGTTTGTATCAGTTAGACGTAATAAAAATGCAAACAAGTTGCAAATATTTTTTGAGGTCGAGTTTTATGACTTGAAATTATTTCTATACGTTTGAATACTAATTCTGATAACGCATTTAACGGGAATCACAGGGTGTGTCATGTAACATGTTGTACACATTCTTCATTTTCATTGTTTAATAAATTGAAAATAGATTATAATTAAAATTAAAAATCGTATATTCAAGAGAATAACCTTAACGTAATAGGGGTCCTATCTAATACAAATTTTTTAGGCATAACAAAAAGCATCTTTGATGATTACAATGTAAACTAGTATTATTGAATAAACGGTTATTGAAATATTGAAGAAATTAAGAAGTAAAACCCGCTAACAATCTGTGGATCTCGTTTTATTTTTTCTGGAATGAGTATTACTGCACTTTTTATAGCTTCGACGGAAGGGATTTCGGGATGCTATAGGCCCAAAATAAAGGTTGTACACGACATTTGACGTAGCAGCTCCTCTAAGATGTGCTGCGCAAAACTTTGACAATTGTTTACAAAAAATAATCCAGCTTGGACTATTAGTCGTTTTCCT